GGAAAAGAAAGGAAAAGAGAAGAAAAAAGAAAAAGAAATAATTTTTTAAGTTTTTTTATATATTATTTTTTTCCATGTCATCATTTTTTTATCGTGTTGTCATTTTTTTTTCAGGTATGCATCTAATGTGTCAAGTTATTTAGACACGTCATCATGCTCCAGTTAATTAACGGGAAATGTCACTGGATTTTTAACGGAGGGACTAAATTGGAGTCAAAATGGTAAACAGTAGGGACCAAATCAGGGATTTTTTGAGTTAAGGGACTAAGTCGGGGGTCTGTACGATAGTTGAGGGACCAAAATGGGGGTTTAACCTAAAAAAACAGAGTTAAATGCCACATTGTAAATGGACTCTTTTTAAAATAATTTATATAGGTCCCACATAAAATAATTATAATTTATAACTTTCAATCTTTTTAATTTAAATTTACAAAAATGCCCTTATATCATTTCTTCCAAAGACGTTTCTTCCCCTATTTACCCGTTTTCTTCCTTGGTTCTCAACTTCATCTTCTTCCTCATCTCCTGATGAATTCTTCCTTCTTTTTCTCTTCGTTGGTGCACATCATCTTCACAACACTTCCTCTCTTCCTCCTTCCTTTACATGAAACATAGTGCTTGGGTTTAAAGGATCCCATATGTGTTTGGTTTGATGGGTTCAAAGGAATCTAGATCTAAGTTCCACTGAACCAATTACTAGGTTTGTTGGAACCCAGCAGTGGGTTCGAAGGAACTTTAATTGACGTTCTGATACCAGTAAACAGAATTTAAAGGAATACAAGGAAAATCCACAAAAGAGAAAGGATCTTCGATATATATCCTTTGCAATATAGTCTGGAATGCGAGAGAATTACAGAGGAGTTTAAGAAGATTGAAGAACACCAAATAACTGAACATCAACAAAGAATTACAAAACACATTTATACTAGCATATTAACTGGCACAAACCAACAGTAACTGATATGCCACCCGCCTAAGCCACATGCACATGACTTCTAAGTTTTTCTACATATCAATTCTTTCTCCTCAAAAACATCCTTGTCCTCAAGGATGGCAATTTGGAAATCGTTGTTGAATATCGTAGAGATATTCCCAAGTAGCATCTTCAGGGTAAGCGTGAGAGCACTAGACTAACACTTTAGTAGCAGTTCGATTTCCTTGCTTCACCATTTTTCTTCCCAAAATAGCTACAGGCTCTAGCATCACTGGTAAGGGCAAATCCACAAGAAATTGACTAGTCACCTAAATTTCTGCTCCAACCTTTTTCTTTAGCTGTGACACATGAATTACTGGATGTATCTGAGATGAATCAGGCAAGGCTAATTTATATGCTACCTTACCCACTTTATCAATCACCTGAAATGGGCCAAAATATTTAGCAGCAAGTTTGTGAGATGGCCTAGATTGCACAGATTCTTGCCTATATGGTTGAAGTTTGAGATACACCCAATCTCCAATAGCAAATTGTCGTTCTCGTCTATGCTTGTTAGCTTGCTGTACCATTCTGTGCTGTGCTCAAGTGAGGTGAAATTTCAATACCTTCAACATAGCTTCCCAAGCTTGCAAACTTTGATCACCAGTTGCAACATCTGAATCTCCAGGTACATAAACTATATGCAATGGTGGTGGAAATCCATACAAAGCCTCAAATGGAGAAATTTGGGTAGTAGTATGAAAATTAGTGTTATACCACCACTCAGCAAGAGGTAACCACTTGCTCCATTTTGTCGGACGATCACCAATCATGCACCTCAAATAATTTTCAAGACACCTATTCACCACCTCTGTTTGCCCATCAATTTGAGGATGATAAGCAGAAGAACATTGTAGTTCAACCCCCTGGAGTTTGAACAACTCTTGCCAAAAATTACTAAGAAAAATGGGATCCTTGTCAGATACAATATCTTGAGGCAATCCATGCAACTTAAAGACATTGTCCATGTAAGCTTGGGCAACAGTAAGAGCTGAATAAGGATGTTGTAAGGCAATGAAATGTGCATATTTTGTAAGTCTATCAACAACAACAAAGATAACATCTTTGCCATAAGATTTTGGAAGGCTTGTAATGAAATCCATACTGACTTGAGTCCAAATTGCTTTAGGAATTGGTAGAGGTTGCAATAGCCCTGGAGTTGGAGTATTTTCTGGTTTGTAACGCTGACATACATCACACTGCCTTATGTACTGCCTTACATCTTTCTCTAAGCCTTTCCAATAAAACAAAAGCACAAGCCTTTTTGTGGAAGCTTGAATTCCAGAGTGACCTCCCATTGCACTGTCATGCACCAAATGAATGAACTTCCTCCTAAGAGTAGCATTATTCCCACAACTAATCTGCCTTTTCATCTTAGTTGTCCTTCAAACCAAGTGTAAGCAGAATCCTTTAAAGAACCTCGCTATAATTTATTACAAATTTCCCGAAGCACTAGATCAACTTCCCAGCTAAGTCTCACCTCTTCATAAATACCAGGAAGAATCCTAAAGACTGCCATTTGCATGAGCTGGTTACTAGACACTCAAGAAAGGGCATCTGCTACCACATTTTCTTTTCCCTTTTTATAACTAATTGAAAAATCATAGCCCATTAATTTAGCCAACCAAGCTTGCTATAAAGAAGTACTAATCCTCTGCTCTCAAAGATACTTCAAACTTTGGTGATCTGTTTTGACAATAAAATGCCTACCAGTCAAATAATGTGACCACTTACGCACTGCATAAATTAGAGCTAACAACTCCTTTTCATAAACTGATAAACTTTGATGTCTTAAAGACAAAGCCTTGTTGATAAAAGCTATTGGATGCCCTTGTTGTAAAAGAACAACACCAATTCCAACATTAGAAGCATCGGTCTCCATTACAAACTCCTTGGAAAAATCTGGCAAAACCAACACTGGAGTTGTTGTCACAGCATGCTTAAAGGATTCAAAAGCTTCACTAGCCTCCCTTGACCAATGAAACACCTCTTTTTTAAGCAAATTTGTCAAAGGTTTACTCAAACTCCCATAATTCCGAATAAACCTTCGATAATATCCTGTCAAACCAAGAAATCCCCTCAATTCCTTAACAGTCTTCGGTTGAGGCCATTGCTGAACAGCTAAGATCTTCTTAGGATCAGTAGAAACTCCCTCTTTAGAGATATAGTGCCCAAGATATTCTATCCTGTCACAACCAAAGAAACATTTGCTTTGCTTCGCAAATAGCTCATTATCTCTCAACAACTTAAATACTTGTCTCAAATGGTAGATATACTGTAATACCCCAAAAATTTCAAGAACAATTAAGTGTAAGCTAGGGACCTAATTGTGAGAAAATAATGTTTTTAAACTTAATCATCAAATTTTCAAAAGTCAAGGGGCTAAAAAGAAAACCAATTTGGATAAGGATCAAGCTTAGATATTTTTCTTTTCTTCCTCATTTTCACACTGGTCTGCTCTGTCTTCTTCTCGATCCTTCCTCCCAAAAAGCCCCCAAGCCACCGACTTTCTCCCCTTGAAAAACCTGATGAAGGCCTCTTGAAATTTCCCTCCTTTCTTGCTCAAGAACCAAGTCTCAAGCCTAGAACTCTCTCCCTCAACCCAGAAATTCCAAATCTGCCCTGCGTCTTCCTCCCCTGCTGTCGGTTTCAACTAGTGTGGGTGTGAGATTTCGATTTTTTTTTTGTATGAATCAGCCATGAATTCATCTTTTCTCACTTGATTCTGTTGGGTTCACTCTAATCTTGTTGTTCTTCCAATTTCTAGCCATTCCGTGACTCCCCTGCAATTTTCCCGCCGCTCCTCCCATAACCGCTAGCTCCAGCATTGCTTGTTGAGGTTTTTTTTGGTAAGTTAGCTTCTCTAATCTCCGAAAATTGGGTGATTAATTGCTGCCTTGTGGGTTAATTGGTTGTGTGAATTGGCTTGGGTTGCCCGAAAAATCTGTTGGGAAGAGGGGAATGAATTCCGATAGCCTTGCAATGGGTTTTAAGTTTAACTATGTAGGAAATCCTCTAATTTGGCTGCTGTGATGTTGTATGAAAGAAAAAGGAGGAAAATTCCAGGACTTGGCCATTTTTTTTTGTTAAGGCGGGTTCTCCCAATTCCTACCCATGAGCTTGAAAAATGGTATATGTGAAATTATATAATTGTATGTGTATATATATAGATACCCAATCCTGGTGAATGCCCAATTTTCAGATAGAAAAATTTAAAATAAAAAATAATAATAATAAATAAAGAAATAAAATTTCTTTATAGATATTAATTCGGAAATATTGTGATTAGGTCCTTGATTGCCCTGTGATCCTAGCACTTGGATTAAGCCTTCTGTCTTGTGCAATTAAGGTAAGTAAATTATGGTAACGCCCTCCGATTTTAAAGCATATTTTAATTTGATTTGTTTTTGAAGTAGTGGTGGGACTAAACCCGTTTTATACAAAATAAGTATGATTGATTTGAACTAAAAATTTTTATGATTTTTATGGATTTGAGCATGCCTACTTGAAGTTCATTTGATTGTCCTGATGATTTGAAAGTTATTTGTAAGGAATGATTTCTTGTTAACTTCTGCATGTTTTGTCTCCGATGTGGTTATGTTATTGGTGATCCTGCTAGTGGGGGTTAAACGTTAGCACATGTCGACATGTTATTGATAGAACCGGTTTGTCCGAATGACCTTGTTAGTGGGGGTTAAACACCAACAAATACTGTAGCCTGCCAGTAGGAGGTTTAAACACTGGCCATGACCTATAGAGGAGACGTTTATTTCTTTCCCGTACTGTATCCGTTTTTATTATACTGTTGGCATCAAGTTTAATTAAGGGCACTCCACATTCTACTTATTGAGTTTATCTCATAGTTTTTCTTGTCCACCATTTCAGGTAGTGAGACCCGACGCATGGGGAGCCCGGGGGAGTGACGAGCTAGACGATTAGGCACTTTTGGACTTAGATTTTTGTAGCTAGGCCGTTAGTCACCATGCTTGACTTAGAAATTTTTGTGTACAGAACTTCCTTAGTTTTAGTCCTAATCGATGTTATGAAGTGATAAATTTGTACATCTTGACGGGTAAATATTTGGTAAGTAAAAAGGTTTAGATTCGAATCGTCTGAATTGCTAAGTAAGAACTTAGTAGATTTTGAGCCTTATGCATTTGTGGGCCCCGTTCATGAGTGCACGGCGTCTGTCTCGCTTTGGGGTTTGGGGCGTGACATATACTCTTCCAAGCTCTTATTGTAAACAAGGATATCATCAAAGAATACCAAGACAAATTTTCAAAGGTAAACTTTGACAATATCATTCATAAGAGATTGAAAAGTAGAAGGTGCATTAGTGAGACCAAATGGCATGACTAAATATTCATAATGCCTTTCATGAGTTTTGAAAGTTGTTTTTGGAACATATGGTGGATACATCCTAATTTGATGGTATCCCGATCTAAGATCAATCTTAGAAAAAAATTTTGATCCTTACAACTCATCTAATAGCTCTTCCATGAGGGGTATGGGATATTTATCCTTCACAGTTTGCTTATTTAGAGTTCTGTAATCTATACACATGCGCCAAGACCCATCTTTCTTCCTAACTAGAACTACAGGTGAAGCAAAAGAACTTACACTATGCTAGATGATACCCGTTTGTAACAATTCTTGAGTTATGTTTTCAATGACATCCTTCTGTACTCCTGCATATCTGTATGGCCTTTGATTAATAGGATCAGTTCCTGCCTTTGAACAAATTTTATGATCATGAGCTCTATGGGGAGGAAGGCCTTTAGGTTCTACAAAGAGATCAGCATACTCTAATAATAATTTCTCCAATTCAGAACAAGTTAAAACCTTTTTTGAAGTGTTTTCAGCTTTATTTTCTTCAATTTGCCAAGTGCCACGTCCTCTGACAGCATCAACAATCAGACTACATAAATGAATTAAGTTGGCTTATCCTTCTTTTTTAAGCAATCTCACCATTCCTTTACTGCCAACCATCTTTAAAGACACCTGAGAGGATCCCCTAAGTACATACTTTTGTCCATCGACAGCAAACTCCATGCGTAAAGTCTTAAAATTCCACAAAATGTCACCCAAGGTCTCTAGCCATTGAATTCCCAACACCATATCACAACTACCAAGAGGTAAAATTAATGTATCCATCTAAAATGGTTTACCTTGTAACCACCAAGTAAAATCTTGGCACATATGGACACATTCCAGTGAACTTCCATCAGCTACATCAACTTTCAAAGCCTCAACAGCTTGTAATTTACAGCCAACCCTTTTTGCCACATTAACTTCTAAAAAATTATGAGTACTCCCAGAATCAATGAGTATGTGAATAGGTTTCTTATTCACATATCCAGTTACCCTCATTGTACGGTAAGCTCCACTGTTACCTCCAGATAATGCATGAACAAACATATGTGGATTAGAGTCATCTAGAAGTTCTTTTATGGTTTCCTCAAAGACTTCCCCTTTTTCTCCTTCATCACCCTCAACAACTTTAATGGAAAATAACTGCATATTTTTGCATTTGTGAAAATTGGTGAATTTTTCATCACACCAATAGCATAATCCTTTTCGCCTTCACTCCTCTATCTCTTGTCTGGTAAGGGGCTTAATATGTTTTGGATAGGTGTTTGATGGTCTAGTGTTTGGGTAAGGTAATTTGGTAGAGTTGGTAGAGGTGAATGTTTTTGTAGTAGCATTAGGTGTCCAAGGAGGAGTGTTCGGTGTAGGTAACAAGGGTGCAGTTGGTCTGGGTTGAAGTTTACATGTTAAAGCTAACTTTTGTGCCTCTTGAATAGAAGACTCTTGTAGCCGGGCTAAAGCATAAGCATCATAAAGAGTCTGT